CTGTTGTGGCGGGAGATGGTTTAGGAGGTGGTGGCTTGGGAGGGTTTATGAGGTGGTGGGTTGGGAGGGTTTGTGAGGTGGTGGCTTGGGAGGGTTTGTGAGGTGGTGGGTTGGGAGGGTTTGTGAGGTGGTGGCTTGGGAGGATTTGTGAGGTGGTGTCTTGGGAGGGTTTGTGAGGTGGTGGGTTGGGAGAGTTTATGAGGTGGTGGGTTGGTTTGGGAGGGTTTGTGTGGCGGTGGGTTGGTTTGGGAGAGTTTATGAGGTGGTGGGTTGGTTTGGGAGGGTTTATGAGGTGGTGGGTTGGGAGAGTTTATGAGGTGGTGGGTTGGTTTGGGAGGGTTTGTGTGGCGGTGGGTTGGTTTGGGAGAGTTTATGAGGTGGTGGGTTGGTTTGGGAGGGTTTATGAGGTGGTGGGTTGGTAGGGTTTATGAGGTGGTGGGGTGGTTTGGGAGAGTTTATGAGGTGGTGGGTTGGTTTGGGAGGGTTTGTGTGGCGGTGGGTTGGTTTGGGAGAGTTTATGAGGTGGTGGTTGGTTTGGGAGGGTTTATGAGGTGGTGGCTTGGGAGGGTTTATGAGGTGGTGGGGTGGTTTGGGAGAGTTTATGAGGTGGTGGGTTGGTATGGGAGGGTTTATGAGGTGGTGGGTTGGTAGGGTTGATGAGGTGGTGGGTTGGGAGGGTTTATGAGGTGGTGGGGGTGGTTTGGGAGGGTTTGTGAGGTGGTGGGTTGGTTTGGGAGAGTTTGTGAGGTGGTGGGGTGGTTTTTGGAGGGTTTATGAGGTGGTGGGTTGGTTTGGGAGGGGTTGTGAGGTGGTGGGTTGGTTTGGGATGGTTTGTGAGGTGGTGGGTTGGTTTGGGAGGGCTTATGAGGTGGTGGGTTGGTTTGGGAGGGCTTATGAGGTGGTGGGTTGGTTTGGGAGGGCTTATGAGGTGGTGGGTTGGTTTGGGAGGGCTTATGAGGTGGTGGGTTGGTTTGGGAGGGTTTATGAGGTGGTGGGTTGGTTTGGGAGGGTTTATGAGGTTACAGAGTAAGTGCAATAGGGGTAATTATGATATCGCAAGTCCCTCTGCCTTATTCACGATGCAGGTAGTAATGAGATATGATTGTGAGGCGGAAGACATGTTCGTGAGGAGGGGGACTAACGTTTTGAATATGTGCATACATGGTGTTATGAACCAGTACCTATAAGACACATTTTTAAAAGACAGTTTCAGGTGTCAACATGTATACAAGAACCATGAATTAGTAATAGACTAACTAACGTAAGAACGAAACTTTGTTTAAAGTCATAGTTGATAACATAACACTGTGTGAAGAGTTATGTTTTAAAGGCTTGAAATGAGCAACTTAAATTGTACGAATGTTGACCAGACCACACACTAGAAGGTGAAGGGACGACGACGTTTCGGTCCGTCCTGGACCATTCTCAAGTCTTAAATTGTACGAAAATTTTTGTGTTTTCCCTCAGACTCGTACAGTCAAGTCAGTGTCTCTGTGTGTTAATGATTCATTGTGTGTACACAGTTGAATGTGTGTACACAACTGTGCACACAGTTGACACCCAGTCACTGGATGTCAACAGTGCTACGAAGCACAAAAAATATTCCAAAATGCCTCTCAAGATAACGTGAACACCGCAACTTGCGTCATGGTTATAAAGACATAGTTTTGTGCGTCGTAAAGGCTTTCTTTGTTCGCAGTGGCTGCGTCAGCAGGCCGGAGGGAGGAGAGGGGGGCGGTGCACCCCTCTATTACTCACAAAACCAAGTTGGAATGGCGGTGAACCTGAGGTTACAGTATCTCAACTTTCCGGAATGACCTGTTATCCGGAAAGACCTATGAACCGGAATAACCTGTGAACCGGAATGACCTGTTATCCTGAATGACCTGCGATCCGGAGTATCCTGTTATCCGGAATGACCTGTGAAAGATTTCCCTCACTGAAGCAACCGCGTATGATAAAGTGAAGGAAGCCTGAACAATTAGGCCAGCAAGAGAACTACAAGGATAATTGCCGTCTTAGTTCCGATAGCTCCTTACAAGTAAGTAATTATCCAAGTCTTAAAAGCTATATAGCACTATAGCTCTTTACCAATTAAACCAATTAAATTGTAGAAGGGACACTGATAAATCCCACTAAATCCTCCTTGCTTTCTCTTAAGCCGTCACTCACTGTAACCCGGTATCAACTTAATTTTAAGATAACGTTACCAATATCAACGATAACGCGTTGCTTAGTGAACAAGAGAACTATCCCCGGAAAAGCGTCAAGCCACCACGACTATATAGCACTGAGAAGGGACCAGGATAGGATTTGAGACGGTGGGAGGAAAGGAATGGTGCCCAACCACTAGGACACTCGGGGATTGAACGCCGACCTGCAAGAAGCGAGACCGTCGCTTTTCCGTCCAGCCCAAGTGATTGCCAGCCCAAGTAAACACTCTCATCAGTCCTCCATGGGGTTAGGAGTGAGAGATCTGTCCCGCTATATGCAAGGCGGCGTCTTACTGAGCAGTCAGCCTAACATGGTGACTGAGAAATTTTGAAAATGGTAATTGAATAACAGTGCTAAGCCACACTTATGTACTCTCGTCTGGCTTTGATGAAGAGAGCCGGAGAACTGTTGCATTACAGGAGTGTAGGTTAAGAAGATGGCTTGGAGTATGGTAGGTGTGAGAGAGGTGGCTTGGAGTATGGTAGGTGTGAGAGAGGTGGCTTGGAGTGAATAGGGTGTGAGTAAGGTGTCTTAGTAAGGTGTGAGTCTCAGTAAGGTGTGAGTCTTAGTAAGGTGTGAGTCTTAGTAAGGTGTGAGTAAGATGGCTTGGGGTGAATAAGGTGTGAGTAAAGTAGCTTAAGGTGAGTTAGGTGTGAGGAATAACGAGACCAGAGAGGTGTGAGGGACCGCTGGACGTGGCCAGGAAAGGTCAATACTCCCACCAATACCAACACAATCGACAGTAATGATCCAAAAAAAGCCGGAGGGGGGGGAGGGGAGTAGCCGAGGACGGGAAGACCAACACAATCGACAGTAATGACCCTACAGCAGAGGGGAATAGTCAATGAGGGGAAGTGTGAGGCCAGAGGTCAGTAGTAACCCAAATGCTGTGAAGGTCATCTGATGAAGCTTTAAGGTCATCGTAAACAATGACCTTCAAGAAGAGACATTATACAGCATGATACCTAGAGATGCTGTATAATGTAACTGCATTGTAATCACTAGCTTTTATTAATCGTGATTAAATGAATGTGTGTGTGTGCACAGGTGTGTGTGTGTGTGTGTGTGCACAGGTGTGTGTGTGTGTGTGCACAGGTGTGTGTGTGTGTGTGTGTGCACAGGTGTGTGTGTGTGTGTGTGTGTGTGTGTGTGTGTGCACAGGTGTGTGTGTGTGTGTGTGTGCACAGGTGTGTGTGTGTGTGTGTGTGCACAGGTGTGTGTGTGTGTGTGTGTGTGTGCACAGGTGTGTGTGTGTGTGTGTGTGTGTGTGTGTGTGTGTGTGCACAGGTGTGTGTGTGTGTGTGTGTGCACAGGTGTGTGTGTGTGTGTGTGTGTGTGTGTGTGTGTGTGTGTGTGTGTGTGTGCACAGGTGTGTGTGTGTGCGTGTCTAAGTGGACGGGGGAACGCGTTGCTATGACCAGACAGAAGCTCAAAGCGTTACAAGGGCAAAAAAAGTTACAAGGGGGCAACTTTGAATATTCTGAAGTAAAGTCAGGCAAAACTTATCCCCGGATCTTCAGTGAAAAACGTTGACAAAATATTTGCGTTGGAACGCGGAAGATTTCAACTACCGATGCCAGTAGTTTCGAAAGCGTGATTTGTGACCATATTTGGTGATTATATATATAGTAAATATATAATATATATATATATATATATATATATATATATATATATATATATATATATATATATATATATATCTAGGCTACCCATGTACCAACACTGCCTCTAGGGTACCCATGTACCAACACTGCCTCTATACCACCCATGTACCAACACTGCCTCTATACCACCCATGTACCAACACTGCCTCTAGGTACCCATGTACCAACACTGCCCCTAGGGTACCCATGTACCAACACTGCCCCTAGGGTACCCATGTACCAACACTGCCCCTAGGGTACCCATGTACCAACACTGCCCCTAGGGTACCCATGTACCAACACTGCCCCTAGGGTACCCATGTACCAACACTGCCCCTAGGGTACCCATGTACCAACACTGCCCCTAGGGTACCCTTGTACCAACAATCCAACACTCTATATTGTGACTCCCAGTTTCCAATTACCTTTCCTAATGAACGGAGCGACACTGTCCTGCCACAGACCGCCCACCAGCCGCGTGCTTCACCGATCAACCTTGAGTGAAAGGAATTAGAGATGAACGCTAGAGATCAACGTGAGACACAGGACACTCGTCGTGGCTCACGTAGACAATAAACGCTTCGAGCCGGGTTCGAATCCATCTCAATGAGTGCGAGTGTCAGCATGGTAACGAGGGAGGGGGGGTGGGGGAAGGAGGGACTCCCGTATCCGGTTCCAGGCTTCAGGACATGACAATGGCGTTACGACTTGACTGAGGAGGAAGGGTTTGAGGACAATATTTGAGGAGCTGGGACGTGAGGATCGTGTGAAGGGTGTGGCGATCAACCTCGTGGACCACCGGGGCTCGAACGCCGATCTTGCAGGAAGCGAGACCGTCAAATGCATCCGCCAATCTTTATATTATGTTTACATTTCTGTGGTTACATGATTTGGTGCCACATATGTGCTGTGTGAGATTGTTAGTGGGTGTACAATGGCACTTTAGAGAGTGTCAGGTGTGGGAGATGGCAACCTTCACAGGGAGTTCCAGGGGGCAGAAGACGGCAGGCGAGTGAAAATGTAACATTTTATGTTATATCTGCCACAACAGAGAGATTTAAATACGAGGGATGGCAGCCGGTGGTCTAAAGAGAAGGCGTGGGAGGGTGCGTGTCGTGTGGGGCTGTGAACCACACTCTT